TGAAATCTTATGTTTAACGACGGTGGTTTAACCCATTAGCTGGCAATGCGCCCTTCCCTTGTCCAACGCCAGAAGATTTTACTCGTCAGTGGTATAGGGTACTGCCAGTAAATGGGTTAACAAACCTATCTGCCAATGGCTCTTGTTAATTCATCAACACAGTAATGGCCCCTACTTTAGTATTTACCCTGTCCAACGCCAGATGATTTTTAATACTCAGTCAGTGGTAGGGTACTGTCAATAACTGGGTTAACAAGGATAACAATAATAGGATGTTTCTGAAGGACTCGTTCAACACCCTGTAGTTTGTCTTTTGCTGTCTAAGGCAGCATTACTGCCCTGTGGGTAACCTAGTCTATCTTTAGTATCGATATAGGGAGGGATTTTCAGGTTTTTGGAATGTTTTTTTTTGAGTTTGAAAATTGTCTTCACTCCTCGATTTGTTTACGTTACGGACCTGGGATTACGGACCGGAAAAATAAATGAAAATATCTTACCCATCCAAGCCATTTGTATTTCTTTTCCATAAATTTCTTCACTTCTTGATTTGCTTCATAATTTGAACCAACATTAACTTGATATTTTTTGTCATTGATATCATCAATCATATGAGTAGAAATCTGGTCAAAACACTGCTTTTTGATATTGTATGTCATCTCTCTCAGATCATAGAGTGATTTAAGCCAGTCATTCATGCTTTGGGTAATGCTAAAGTTGCTGCCTCTCAATTTCTCATGCGCCAGAATCACCTGCTGAGCCTTGAAAGACAATTTGAGAATGCTGTTTGCAAGATGGCCGATTTTTCCAACGTCGCATTTGAATGTTTTCCTTGTCAATGTAAGGAGCGGATCTCCAAATGCTGATGTTGGTTTTATAGCACCGTTCAGAATTTTGAACATGTGTTGTTTCACGTTGAAATCGTCGACGTATCGAGATGCAATTCTGGCTCGCACACGATTGCAGTTTTTTTCATCCCCACACCGCGTATTTTGCAATTCATTCAGGAATGTTGTCAATTGTTTATGGCCGAACAGAATCTTGGAGGCACTGTCCAGATAAACTGCGCGCTGGTTTTCATACGTGATAAGATCTTTCACGTTATCAAGCTTCGAGTTGATTACGTCAAGTTTCGAATTTACCTCGGCAAACTTCTCCTTCATGTATCGAAGCTCAAGCGAATCAGATTTTGGAACGAACGCTAACGCAAACGATAGGAGACCACCTGCCGCTCCCAGAAAGCCTGCCATCTTTGCCAACGAATTAAAGACCTTACTTGTTTGTGGGTCACCGAGTTTCGAAATGAATTCCACTACTTTCTGACCTCCAGCGAGACCCTTTTCTATTCTTTCGACTGATTTTGAGCTAATTTTACACGTTGTATTGCCAAACATCAGCAATATTACAATGGTTAACAACATCATTCTCTTTGAAGCCATTTTTCTGCTCATCAAAGAGACACTGAAAATAAATTACTACGATTATTACTTGAAAACAAACTTGGGGGAACACGGGTGGCAAATGTGATTAGCGCAATTGCACTTAATAGACATTATCACTTTAACACATATCAATAGACATAATCACATTATCACATATGTGTACGTAATCCACATTAAATAACCCGTTCCCAGGAAACTGGGAAACGATTGTTTTATGGCGGTCAGTCAGTGAGTATTTTGTTAGTTATACGAGGGGCAGGTATGTTGGCATGTTGTAAAACGCGGGTCGACTTGCATGGACTTGTTAAACGCTGATTGGGCTGGACTTGTGAAACGCGGACTGGACTTGTAAAACGCACACTAGACCAATCTCGTTCCCAGGCTTATAAAAGCTTGGGAACGAGATTGACACTGGACTTGATGTAAGTTGATGAATTGTTATCGTACAGTTTTAAATTGATACAAGTTTTGTTTTATAAAGCAATTTCGCTTTCCTAATTGCTTTAGCTGACAAATAAGTTTGCATTGTATTTTCAAACATTTCCGGTACAAATTGTTAAAAGTATGTAAACACGTCAACTTCAAGCGGATGATAGATTTGAGGTGCTAATTAGCCATTCCGAAGT